GGGGGGGGGGGGGGGGAAATAGGGGAAGGAGGAAAATGGCACTTTGGTTCAGGAAGCGATTGAGATGGCGGTTTGGCGGTTGGAATCTAGTTGACAGCAGTCGAGCACTTGGTGCGTGCGTGCATTTGTGCGCGCGTGTGTTTGTGTGTGTGTTTTTAGCCATACATTACTCCTGGACATCTGTGGGTCAAAATTGAAGGGTGCAACGCAGCCCCACAACGCCGTACATACATACATACACACATACACACATACATACACACAACTCACACACAGAAAGAGGCGCGCGCGCCCTACCTGTCCATGACCTGCTTGAGGTGCTCCCCCTTGAGTGCGGGTTCCGGCCAGTCGCTGCTGGGGTCCAGCAGCCGCGCGTACATGGCGGCCTTGTCCACACCGCCCGAGGTGGTGTCCGCGTCGACAGAGGGGGCCTTATGGCCCACCTCGCGAGCCTGGCGGAGTGTGCACGTGTGTCGTACGGCAGTACGGAACAAGGGAAAAGGGAGGGGGAAGCGGATGGCGAATAATGTTTGCGAAATGGGTTGGTAGGGGGATGTGGGAACATAGGGGTAGCCGGGTTGTGTGCGTGCGTGCGTGCGTGCGTGCGTGCGTGTGTGTGTATGTGTATGTGTGTATGTGTGTGTATGCGTGTCGATTTGTGACGAATCCAGAGAGGTTGTCGCCTAGGATACATCACTTTGGGGACTGCCCACTTGCTCAAGCGATCGTTAATCAAATTGTTACATACGATACATAGGACATGCGATATCCCGAGCCGAAATTTGGCTAATGCAGCCTCCGACGGGAACACAGCAATGTGTCTGCGATGTAGTTAGTGGTCCTCCTAGCGGCAGTCAGTGCGATGGAGACGGGGCGTCGGTTCGCACGAGTTAAAGCACATCGGGACGGGAAATCCCACATCACATCAGGCCGCCCAAATCATGGACCGGGCCATCCACAGCGTGATTGTTGCTGCTTTTGGGTGCAGTTATGTTCTTTTTTACCGCATTAGGCAGCCGACCTAAGCGTGCTTGGAAGCAGTTGGGCCTTAATACGTTTCTTTCTTACGGGTAGTAGAGGACAATTTGCTTTGCATGGATCCGCTCACAGACGAAGGTGATCGGTGGTTCCACCCCTCGAAGGTGATTTTCAAACACAGCTTGGTAGGAAGGCGGTCCCGTGTGTCCCCTCTTCACATCGAGGCAAACACGAGAACGCCGAGTACTTGTAGGCATGAGTTTGTCGCTCATTGGGGAGCCATATTGGCAAAATCCTCCTCTTGGCATCAGTGCTAGCCCGGTCTTAGTCGTAGCCGGGCTTCCTGAGGTGTTGTGCATGCCGGTACTGACAACTTTCCAGGTCTGTGTCTATTACAGCGACAGGCGATGTGCCCTTTGGCTCGCTTTCTTTGCATTACAGTTTAGAAACTTGCCTTACGGTATAAAGTATATAGGCGTATTCTTTGCCTCACGGTACAAAACCTTGCCTTACGGTAGATTGCCTTACGGTATCGAAACAACAACGACAACCAACAAAAAAAGTTATCGGGTCGTGCTGTCGGGGTAAACAGGCCCTAGTTCTGTAGGCTTCTCGTCAAAAACGGGAAGACAAAGAGAAAGAGAAGAAGACAGGAGACGCAATCCTGAAAGAGAGAGAGAGAGAGAGAGAGAGGGGGTGCCATGATTCCGAAGAAATCTGCTCCCTGATCCTGATGTATTGTGTAGGGAAATGCTCTAGTAGACTGGCACGAGATTTTAGCTGAGCTACTACCGCTTCGTCTCGCGCGCTGCTTAACAGTTTGCGCACAAAGAGCGGGAGAAAGCGGATACGTAAACATTATCATCTCACCTTGGCGTCTCCAGCCTCGCGGACACGCTCATGAATCGTCATGTTGAGACAGTGAGCGCAGTCAGCAGCCGAACGAAGAAATGCTCCGTGTTGGCAGCGGGCCCCACGCTGTTGGCAATGTACGCGGAGAAAGGGGAATTAACGCAACTTTGACAGTCAAGAGCTTGCGACACGCAACGAAAATGTTATACGTTGTGCCCGCGAGATTTTACGTTTTTCCGGATAGCCAGGAGTGACGGCAAGTGACTTGGCGGCCCGTACGGCAGCGGGGGCTCTGACGCAACGCGCGTCTCGTCGTCGAGGAGGAAAGGAAAAAATGCGACAGAGGAAATAAAAGACATCGAAGCAGCGCATTTTTTTATACTCCAGGCTTAACGAGCGAAGTAAAGCATTCAATTAGCCTCTCAACGTCAGCAGCCAGTATTAAAGCTGGATTAGAGCATCATACCAACGACCCGCGGGTCTTCTTTAACAGCACTTTGACCACCGTCTGCATCACGAGCGCCCATTTCTTTACTTGAATATCCAACATCCGTCCTTTTTACCCTTCTCTAAGGAAGCCTTTAGAGTAAATTATTCATCTTATCAAACCCCGCGCCCCTGTTTCTCCTTTTCCCTTTTCTCAATTTATCAAATCGCGCACCAGGTAGGCAAGAAAAAAAAGGAGTATTAAGCTTGCTGCGCTGCGCTGCGCTGAGCTGCACCACGCACAAGTTCGCTCGTGTTGTTTTCGTTGTTGCTGTTTGTTGTTGCCGAGGGAACGACTGCTACTGCGCCTTTCAGCTGCTTTCCTTCGCGGCACCAAGGCATCCTTTCTTTCAACTTCACAGCTATCATAAAGTGCCTCTTCTCTTTCTCTCCCCCCCCTCTCCCTCTCTCGCTCTCTCTGTGGCTCTTAACACTCTTGACTTGCCAAGTGGAGTGCTACGACTGCATCCCGCGCTTGGTCCCCTAAGGACCGCAAATCCTTTTCAACACCCTTTTAGCAGGAGGTGACAGGACAGCCGGGAGCAGAGCGAGGCTGACGGCAACATAGGGGCGATAGCGTCGGAGAGTTGAAGACGCATCCGCACTTCCATCAGCAGTAGCAGCAGTAGGTGACGGCGACGCAGAATGACGTCCGCTAGCGGTGCTGACACGCCGGCGACTGCCGTACCAATCTCGAACGCTACCGCACCCGCTGCCGTCGGCGCCGCAGCCGTTGCTTCCCCCATCGCTGCCGCGCCTGCGCTTCCATTTCTCCGCGGCGGCGGCGGCGGCGGTGGCGGTGGCGGTGGCGGCGGCGGCAGGGGTGCTAGCGGCGGCGGCAGTCTCATCCCCCGCCTGGTGCGCAGTAGTGCCATCCTCTCTCCCACCACGGCGGGGCCCACATCCACATCCACATCCTCATCCTCATCCTCATCCTCATCCGTACTCTCAGCTGCAGCGCCGCCAACAACATCTTCAACACACCTAGCCTCATCATCGTTCCGTACCAATCAAAATGAACAGCAGGACGAGCCGCAGCCGCGGCCTCCACAGCTGGGCCAGCGGCAGCAGCAGCGGCAGCGGCAGCGGCAGCGGCAGCAGCAGGCCTCTGGCGCTGCCAGCGGCGGCGGCAGTGACGGCAAGGAGTACGGCGAAGGAGATGTTGGCCGCGGCACTAGCGGCACTAGCGACGGCAGCGACGGCAGTTGCGGCAGTTGCGGAGGGGGGTCAACGCCCTGTGCAGTCTGGCGGTTGATGGAGTCCTTGGACGTGTCTTTCGACGGCTTGTCCGTTATGTCGCTGGGGGTCATCGCTGGCCTCGTACAGGTGTTTGGGCGGGGTGGGCGGGGTGGGCGCGGTG